CTATGGTAACATTATACTACTTTGATCATAGTGAAATTTGAAAAACAAATCTTAAAAAAAAAGAGAAAAATGTTTAATAAAAAAAGTTAAAAAAAAAAAAATTATCAATTTTTTTTTTTGCGCACTGTCACCAGTCAGTGTCCCTGATCACACCCATGCCAGTTATATGATGGTGCTGTACTGCACTGGTGACAGTATGTAAAAAAAGTACGTCTGACTTATGAAGTACGTCGGACTGTCTACTTTGCAAAAAGGGGTCATTTGGGGGATATCTGTACTGTTCTGACATTCTTGGACCTCAAGAAATTAGATTGGCCGTCAGTACTTCAGGATTGATCAATATTCAGATCTATACCATAGTTTGTGAACTCTATAACTTTCCTACAAACTAATTTGGGTTATTTTCACCAAAGACATGTAGTAGAACACATTTTGGCCTAAATTTATGAAGAACAATTATTTATTTGCAAACTTTTAGAACAGAAACAAAAAAAAGTGTTTTTTTTTTTTTCAAAAATTTTTTTTTTTGTTGTTAATTTTAGCATAAAATAAAAACCCCAGCAGTGATTAAATACCACCAAAAGATAGCTCTAGTTGTGTGAAGAAAATGATAAAATTTTAGTTTGGGTACAGTGTTGTATGACCGCGCAATTGTCATTCAAAGTGTGAGAGCGCTGAAACCTGAAAATTGGCCTGGACAGGAAGGGGGTAAAAGTGCCCTGTATGGAAGTGGTTAACCACTAGGGGACTGAGAAAAAGGAGAGAAGCGCCTCTAAGTGCAATAAGTCTTTTAATTCAAGTCTAAATGTAGAAACACTCACATGTGTGAAGTAATCATAAGCATAAAAACCGTGGTTAACAATAGTTAACGGTGGGGTGGTAACCCGGGTGAAGAGCCGTCATCTCTCTGCGATGTGGGGAGGTCAGCTCTCGGCTGGAACAGCGTGGTGGCTGGAGGGGGAACAGCGGTGAGGCCAGCCTTCATGCACGTCCTCCCTCAAAGCCGGATGGAACGCACGCTGGAACGTAGCGGCGGCGTGGCCGTGATGACGTCAGATCCCAGGGTGCACTGCGATGCGTTTCGGAGCATGCACTGTCCGTGGAAGGCGGAAGTGCACTCCTTTTTCAAGCAGGGGGAAGTGGATGAACAGGGGTGAATATATAGGGAACGTGAGTCTAATTGATCAATTAACCAATTAACCAGTGATTGACCATTGCTGTCAGGTGAATAGTGTAAAGTCATGGATGTTAACTGGGGGGTAAAAGGAAACCAAATGGAAAAAAGAGAGGATGTAATAAATAAGAAAACGGAAGACGAAAGAAAAAAAAAAAAAAAAATTATGTTCTGGGAGATTAGTGGGGTAAAATGTTCACCTTGCAGCACTGGCACATCAATTATGTAACAGTAGTGAGCAGATATTTAGTGGTAATACAGCATGATTGCAAGATGATACAGCATGATTGCAAGATGATAAACATATTGGTAATAATACATGCAGATGACATTATAAAAAGTAAATTACATTGTAAAAAATTATAAAAAAAAGAATAAAATATAAATAATGAACAAAAGGTTATAAATAATAAACTAAAAATTGGATTAAAAAAAAAAAAAAAAAGTCTATTCCTCGTTGCGTCCGCCGGGGACAATGTAAATGTAAAACTCCAATACAGTTTCTTGTGAACAGAGAGTTTTTGAATTCGATAAATTCGATTAAAAAATTCGATAAAAAAAAAATTTGATTTAAAAAAAAAAAAAAAATAAATAATAATTTTATAAAGAAAGGGGGGGGGGAAGTATCATTGTGAGTGTTGAGTGGCTGTGAATGGGAGATTGTAGTGTTTATAGTATAGTGTTAATGTCTAATTCCTCGTTGAGTCCGCCTGGGGACAATGTATCTAATGTAAATATCCAATAAGTTTCTTGTGAACAGAGTTTTTTGAAACGATCAGACTCAGAGAGATTGTTGTGTATGGATTCTAAGACCCATACTTGTAGGCCATCAGTGGATTTTTGGTGATATTCAAGGAAGTGGCGGGGGACGCTATGTTTGTCTTTACCATCTTCAATAAGACGTCTGTGCTCGCCAAACCTGGCGCGGAGGGGTCTGATGGTTCGTCCCACATATAGGAGGCCGCAAGGGCAGGATATACAATAGATCACATGATCAGTGGAGAAGTTGTAAAATTCTTTGAATGAAATTTCCAGCGTTCCATCCGGCTTTGAGGGAGGACGGTTTTTCCTTTTGTGGTGAAGTTTTTTTTGTCAGTGTTTAACGAATTGGCAAGTTAACCATCAGACCCCTCCGCGCCAGGTTTGGCGAGCACAGACGTCTTATTGAAGATGGTAAAGACAAACATAGCGTCCCCCATAATACCATTTCCCAGGACTTTGCAGTGTTTGCGCTGTTACAACCCTTCCTCATTTTTTCTGAACCACTAGGGGACTGCCCACAGTACATATACTGCGGCAAGGTGGCCCCTGTGTGCAGGAACTCATTTACAAAACGTCATCCTGATTTCGGGGTAAGGGGGCGCGTGCGACCACGGGTGTCTATCACCAGGTCCCGGCCGGTGATAACCCACCAGAGCCCGGGCGATTGCTGGCAAACACTGACAGGGAGCACAGCTGCATTGTTTTCAATGGAGTTCTCCTTCCTGTCAGTTTTCAGCACACTGATCCGGATGGATGAGCATAGCCTTCCGAGTCAGTGTGTTACAGTGAAGCAAGCACCCCCCCCCCCCCCAACCCTTTGATTGCCTTCTATTAACCCCTTCCTCCCCAGTGCCATTAGTACAGTGTTAGTGTTTTTTTTTGCACTGATCACTGTATTGGTGTCACTGAGGATGTCAGTGACCCCAAGTCAGTCCCCCCCCCCAGTGTCAGAATGTCTGCCACAGTCCCGCCATAAGTCGTTGATCGCCGCTATTAGTATAAAAAAAAAAAAAACTAGTATCTATACCGCCATTTGTAAACACTATAACTTTCATGTAAACCAATTAATTTACACGTGTTGCGATTTTTTTTTTTTTTTTGTAGCAAAGACATTTTGCGGAATACATTTGACAAAATGTGATTTTTAAATTTTTTTTACTGGGTAGGTTTTATAGCAAAAGTCCAAAATATTGTTTTTTTTTTCCCCAAAATTGTCAGTCTTTTTTTTATAGTGCAAAAAATAAAATGCACAGGCGATCAAATATCACAGAAAGAAAGCTCAATTCATTGGGAAAAAAAGACGTAAATTTCATTTGGGTGCAGCGTTGCATGACCGTGTAATTGGCAGTTAAAATAACGCAGCACCATAACACAAACCGCTTATGGGCACTCTAATGCATGGAAAACATGAGTTGTCTCGCATGTGATGAAAGACAGAATCTCAAATAACTTCTCATTTGTCCTAAATTTGGTGAGTGTCCTGAACTTATTCTTCACCCTGTTACATGAAAAGAAACCCTTTTTGTTCCAAAACATTTTTAATTTACATGCTGGGTCTAAGATTTTTTTGACCACTCTCTCCAAACGTAGGAGTCTTTCTATATATGAACACTGGTTTATTTGGCAATAGTGGGCCCAAGACCTTGTCCATTTTTAATATATGCCAATGCTTGGCATATATTTGTTCCACTTCCTTATACTGAACATGAAAATCCGATACAAAACCCCACTGATGTTTATTATCATCTCTATTCACTTGTTTATTTATCAAACACTGTTCCCTATTAATAGTCCCTATCTCCTCAATAGTCTCATGGAGGGTTTCCCTTTCATATGTCTTTTCAACAAACATCCATAATTAGTTTTGATTGATTTATAAAGTCACTTTCCTCACAACAGTTTTTTATTATGAATTTTTTGACCTTTTGGTATGTTTTTAAGCCACAAAGGGTGATGCCCACTATGACAGGGTAAATAACTGTTGCAATCTGCTGGCTTGAAATAAGTTTTGGAAACTAAAGAGTCAGTCTTCCTAAATATAATTAGATCCAAAAAAATGTAATTCATCTCTATTGTACTGACCATCTAATTCGATGTTATTTGGATTAGGATTTAATTTATCCAAAAACTGAATCAGTTCTACCTCAGGACCTGCCCAGATGAAGAACAGGTCATCAATAAATCTTTTGTATAGCAGAATCTGTTTATGGCCATGGTTGAAGACATATCTGTCTTCCCATTCCATCATAAACAGATTAGATATTCTTGGCACAAAACGTGCGCCCATCGCAACGCCTTTTATTTGGGAAAAAAGTCCCCATTATACCAGAAATAATTGTGAGCAAGGCAAAATTCCAAAGACCTCCTCAAAAAACACTTCTGGGCATACAGAATGTCCTCTTTTACTCAATGCCCAATAATGCATCTTCAAGGGATCAAACATCCGCTGTTACCAGGAAAACTTCAGGGATATTTCTAAGGTCAACTTCCTCCAAAAGCTGTAAGATTTTTTGTATCTATCAAATAAGCTTTAGTGGCCACAACACTGGTCTGGAGAAAAATGTCCAGGTATTGGCCAAGTCTAGCAGAGACTGAGCCAATGCCATTGACTATTAGCCTAGCTGGTGGATTCAAGCGATCCCTATGAATTTTCGGCAGTTTATAAATAGTGGGGATTCTACAACAACTAGGAACCAAATATTTTTTTCTTTTTTGGTAAGCACCCGTGTACGGTAACCTTATTCAATTAGTCCCTTAAGGTCTTCTTTATACCCTCTTGTGGGATCTCTAGTGAGTTTTGCATATGTTCCTGAATCGGACAACATTTCCATTAATTGGGTATGATAAAATGTTTTGAGAACAACCACCACTCAACCTTTGTCCGCAGGACTTATTTACCGAACCAATAGTATAACAAGCGGCCTTATATAAAGCCTCCCTCTTTTACGTATGGTCGCACCCTCAGAGGAAGTCAGATATGACAAAACGTGTTAGGATGTGACTATCCGTGATGTCAGCACGCACGCCAGGACCATGCGGTGAGAGCTTGTTGTGATCATGGTTTTAAGACAGGGCTTGAAATTTCCACTCGCCTGCCTGCCAATGGCGAGTGGAAATTATGGTGGGGGCGAGTGTGTCCCTCAGGGCCGTCTTGCTGAGCAGGCTTGGAGCTCAGGCCGAATCAGTCATTGGCACTGGGAGCCGTCAGACTGCTCAATAGCTGAGCGCAGTGAAAGCAAAGGAAGGAGTGTGTGCTGTGCTCTCTGCCTCCCCCTAGAGTGCAGTACCTGGCTCTGTGAGTGAACAACGAAGTACTGCAACTTGGTATGGGGGGGTAGTGGTGTGTGTACGTGTACATGTGTGTGTTGTGTGTGTGCGTGTGCATGTACATGTGTGTATCTGTGTCTGCGTGTATGTACATGTGTGTGTATGTACGTACATGTGTCTGTATATGTGTCTGTGCGTGTGTATATCTGTGTATGTACATGTATCTGTGTGTATGCGTGTCTGTACATGTGTCTCTGTGCGTGTGTATGTTTGTATAAGGGGCGGACTGACAACTTATGGGGCCCCCCCGGGCAATAGGGGATCATGGGGCCCCTGTGCCCTTGCCCAAACTCAAAAAAGCCTATGAAAAGGGTACCAGGGGCATCTCATGGGGCCCCCTACTGACCCCGGGCCCTCGGGCAGTGCCCGAGTTTCCAAATAGTCAGTCCGCCCCTGGTTTGTATGTACATGTCTGTGTGTGTGTGTGTACAGGTGTCTCTGTTTTGTGTATATTTGTTGGTGTCGAGTAACTCTAAGTCCTGGCTAGTAACAGGACTTGAAATTTTAAGCCCTGTTTAAGATCTTAGTTACCAGTGTGCGGTGAGACTGTCACTAGCTGCTGTGGTCGGCGGCCATTTTATTGGAAGTATATATACAATGTGCATTACCATGTTACTCAATGTGAGTGCTTTTCTTAAGGGGGTTTTCTATGGCAATAAATGATTGTTTTTACGGTATAATGCTATGTGGCTGTTTTGTTTTGCCCACATATGGAATTTATATTTCCCAATCTGAATGAGGAGGAGATCGGAGTATGAGATACTTATAATCTATTGATTGGAGGTCCTTTTGGGCTGCTGGCTGATTATCAAGTTTGAGATTTCACAACCATTCATTATTAAGGAGATTGACTGAATTCCTACTAATTTTCCACTGCTGGTTACTCTCCAGCTTCTGGTGAGTGTTGAATCCAATGGGGTGTTAATCGCTGCAGGATCACATGGATGGTGGATCACTTTATGTTAACCACTAGCCTACAGGGCACTTATACCCCCTTCCTGCCCAGGCCAATTTCCATCTTTCAGCGCTGTTGCACTCTGAATGACAATTGCGCGGTCATGCAACACTGTACCCATATGAAATTTGTATAATTTTTTTGTGAAAGATAAAGCTTTATTTTGGTGGTATTTAATCACCTCTGGGTTTTTATTTTTTCTTAAACAAACCAAAAACCACTGAAAATTATGAAGAAAAAAAGTTTCTTAGTTTTTGTTATAAAATTTTGTAAATATGTGATTTTTTCCCTTCACTGATGTGCACTAATGAGGCTGCACTGATGGGCCCTGATAGGCTGCACTGATAGGTGGCACTGATGAGGAGGCACTGGTAGGTGGCACTGATGGGCATTGACTGGCATCAATGATGGGCACTGAAAGGCAGCACTCATACAGTTGCAAGAAAAAGTATGTGAACCCCTTGGAATTACGTGGAGTTTTGCATGAATTGGGCATAAAATGTGCTCTGAACGTCATCTAAGTCACAACAATAGATGAACCCTAGACTGTAAGCTCGAAAGAGCAGGGCCCTCGAACCCCTTGTGTAGTGTATTGTTACTGTCTTGTCTCAGGTTCTGTCCCCCTTGCTACTGTACAGCGCTGAGCATACCCTTTGGCGCTATATAAATACTGTATAATGATAACACAGTCTGCTGAACATAATACTACACAAACATTAGATTATATGGCACTGATAGGCGGCACTGACAGGATGCACTGACTGGCACTTATAGGCAGCACTGACGGGCACTGATAGGTGACACTGATGCACACTGATAGGCGGCACTGACTGGCACTGATGGGTGACACAGCTGATAACATGACCGAGCTGACATCTTCGGCTCTTTCCGTGAATCGGTGATCCACTGTGTCCGAGGGACACAGCGCACTACAGATCGCCACGCAAAGCACTCCGGGAGCCGCACATGCGCGGTTAGAATGGGAGGACGTCATATGACGTCCTCCCAGACTGAGAGAACCACCTTGCGCCCGTCATATTACATATTACTATATGGCGGGTGGGAGGAGGTTAATTTCTTGCCGACCGCGCATAGCCGAATGACGGCTTCACCGCGGCCGGCCAGTTCTGAGTGGACGTCATATGACGTCCTCCCAGAACGCGCTCTCTCCCAGGGGGCGCGCCCCAGCGAGGATCGCACAGCTGATCACGTGATGTGGTGAAAGGCCGATCCCACCGGCCTTTTACCACGTGATCAGCGGTGTCCAATGACTCGCTGATCACAGGGAAATGCAAGTGTCGGTTCTCGGCTGCACTTTCCTCACGCTGTCAGATCGTGAGGAAAGTACTGCCGAGAACCGGCAGTTGTCAGAGCGGGGATCGGCACCGATCATCAGGGCACTGATGATCAGTGCCCTGATGATCGGTGCCCAGCAGTGACACCCGCAAGTTCCGCCCAGCAGTGCGCCCACTAGCCCCGCCCACCCGTTCCCAGCAGTGCCCCCACCTGTGCCCAGCAGTGCCCCCACCTGTGCCCAGCAGTGCCCCCACCACCTGTGCCCAGCAGTGCCCCCCTGTGCCACCTACAGTGCTGTGCCCAGAAGTGCCACCCACCTGTGCCCAGAAGTGCTGCCCACCTGTGCCACCCACCTGTGCAGCCCAGCAGTGCTGCCAGTCAGTGCCACCACCTGTGCCCAGGGGTTGTG